CTTGGTGCCCTATTGTCAATACACCATTCCCATTATTGTTCCTTCACCACGTCAGATCTGATCTATAAAGTCTCCCGTTTCGTAAGAAATGTGCAAAGCTCCATAGAAAAGCTTGCTTACGTTTGCACACAAGACAGTGTGTCAGTAGAGCTTAATATAATTATTCCCAATGACAGTTCCGCCTTGTAATCAAATATTAAGCAATTTGCTCGACGAAATATATTATTCATCCGTGTGGACACGGTATTATGGCTAGGTCAGTTCAATGCTTTAAAATTCTCAAACATCCTAACTCCTAAAGGTGTGTGAAAAAATATATTAAAATAGGAAGATTTAACCCAGTTAGGGCTAAGAAGAAAAATGTGGTACTCTTCCAGTAACACTAAAAATGAAAATCATACAGTAATTGTACATTGTCGGTGCACGTTTCAAATGGTACGGCCAGCACGACTGTCTTTGGGAGGTACTGTTGGGCAATGTTTCATCAACAACTCTCTAGCATCGGTCTTTGACGATTTGATCTGCTGCTAAATACGGCCGTTTCACAATAGTGCGCCACCAAGAGTTTGCAATGCGTTGGCCAGTCACAATGCGCGAAATCTGTCGACCAAACGCGCGTTTGGAAAGGGTCGACAGATTTCGAGCGTTGTGATTGGCCAACGCGTTGCAAACTCTTGGTGGCGCTCTATTGTGAATAGCCTGTATTGCAAGAGCCAATGCGCCAGTTCGGTTTTTCAAAACAGACGAGGTCTTTCGGGAACAAAGTGCCCGGGTCAAGGCGTATACCGAGGTACGGCAGCGCTGATAAGTGCAGACAATCGCGCGCGCGTGCAGCTGTTCCTGTATCACCTCGGACGCGCTTCAGTTTGGACACGCGCTGTTGGAATACCAAACTGTCTCATTTAAACAGAAGACTGGTGCCTTGAAGTTGCCGAGGCATCGGAATATATTCTGAGTGAATTGCCGTTGCGTCTGTTCTCAGTCGCGGAAAATATGCAATTTATTCCGCACGTCCAGCTCTGTAAATTATGACCCGGCCATCAAAGCACATTACAGACATTCTGGGATAAGAATATGGAATGATGGGAGGCAGACTGTAGGGCCCCCCCTTCCTTCTCTGCATCTGCCAAAGGGGGTGATTCGAATCGGCTTTCAACACGACAACCGCGTCCGCATTTTAAATAAAGCGGCTTGCGCACACACACAAACACGCCGAAAAATCGGGGATGATTTATCGCGGTATTAGCCGGTCGGCGCGGCCGACTATTGAGAGACGAAAAAAAAAAAAACGAAAGGGGGAGAAGTAACTTGGCTGGCTGGTGACGATGAGGCCCAAAGATGGGCTTGACATCTGGGGGCACAAAGACCTCCCATCCGTCATCGAATCCACGATGATTTATTTATCCTCCGTCATCATCACAAGGGAAAATGTATTCCGGCTCCAGCTTTCGGGCGGGGGAGATTGAATAGGAAAAATGAGCCGAGAGTGACGATTAATAATGTATGTGGATCCAGGAGAGAGCAGAGGGAAAATCAATCACGTCGCCGAGGCATGAGTGTGAAGGGTTCCGTTCGGTTCAATTCAGGACTGCATGGCAGACACTGCATGATGAATCCGCATGAGGGCGCTGTGGTTGCTTTACGTGGGTCATCACAAACGGGAACGCAAGATGAAGACCAAGAAACTTGAATCAAATCGACCGTTTATTCAAAATGTGGGAATTACTTTTCACACGGCTGCCAGTAACAACCTTGATTTGAACCTGCACATGCCACTGACTGTTCCATCGTGAAGCAGACTTTGAACAGAAAATCTTGGAATTACAGAATACAATTCGGTAGCGAGTGCACATCACATCACGACACTGTTCATCGAGATATTTACAACCATTTAATAAGCTATAAAGAGCAAATCTACAGAACACGGTAATTCCTTTTTTTTAAACGTCTCCCTTTCAGTTGGTTGAAGAAAATAAAGCTTTGCGCGAATAGATTATACGAAATTTATCAGTGGTAATAGGGCGCCATTCATTACCATTGATAGAGTCTTTTGACCGCGCAAGAAGCTGGACATTCCGAAATCGTCAACTTGCAAGGGTTCGTCACGTAGGTTTCTTGTATCGTCTGGGTTTGACATTAAAGTAAATTGGAGTTAAACCGAAATTTTCCCCTCTCCTAATCAAATTATCAAGATCAGCCCTTTCAAGAGCGGCACTTCAAGTGCTACAGATAAAACATGAACCAACCCATTGTTGTTTCAATTATCCTTCAGTCCGCCTGGTTCTACAGTTAAATCGTCCATTCTATAAAGTGACATCTTTTCTCAACTTGACAGCCATTGAGGTGGTGCCTTTCTGAACCTGTTGTGATTCAGCTGATCTTGTTGGCTGCCATTACAGGACGGCATGAATTTCTCCACACGGGCTTTGTCAATCTTTCCCACCAACACAGCCTTTAATGTTCCCTTCTTGGCTGCCCCTTATGATTGAGATGACACCCCTTTAGGCTGATCAGTTAGTGTTCCCATTAGTGAGTGCTTCATCTCCTCTTATTGGCTGCCTTTGTAAGATGACATCATTGTTGACCAATCCATCTTGCAGAGTGTGGATCTGTGGGCTCATTGTTTTTCTGTCACCTCCTTTTATTGGCTGAACTTGTGAGACACAACTCACTCTAATCCAATCAGCTTTTGGGCAGGTGTGTACTTCCAGTCGGTCTTGGCCAAATAGTCCACTTTCTTCTTCAGATCCTCCAGGCGTTGCTGATGCATTTCTGCAGCAAGAAGCAAACACAACTTAATCTTAAATATTAAGAATACATGCTGATTTGGTAGGTAACAGGCACAAATATCTGACCTCGGAGGAAACGTGGGAAGAAGTTTACTGCAGATGTCCAAAAGTACATGTGTACTTAAGTAGTAAAGAGTATTAACAACAGAGGAGCATAGCAGGAAATCAATGGAGAAAAATCTGCTATTCTATTGAAATAGGACAAATATAGCTGTGATCATCAATACGCATCACTGAAAAAAAAATTGATCGCAAATGTGATCCATTTCATGTTTTGATGATACCACTAATCGGTCTGTTAACTTATACATATCTGGACAAGATACAGGCATTATGCCAACCAAACTACAAGTACATGTACCTGCACCTTAAGTATATATCTAGACGAAATCGTTGTGTGCCTGGAAGAAGAATGAAAGCACTTACACCCTTTTGCCGGGGAGCATGATCACTGCAAACAAAAATTTCCTGGCAAGAGGATGTATGCATGCAACTGTATGCAAAGATTTCTTTGCAAAATGTAAGAAGAAAAAAATTCCCAAGTCGTTTTGATAAGTTGTTCAAAGGTTGCTTTTTTGTACAGCCTGTGTTGATTCTGTAGTAAATTTTACCCATTTTACTAAATATAAAGAGGGTGTGTTTCTTACGCCCTTTTGCCAGAAACATTTTTTCTGCTTTGTGAGTCTCATCTGCTGTGATCATGCTTCCCGGCAAAAGGGCATAAGTGCACTTTTGCCGGGCACAAGACGAAATGATTAGTAACTCCCCCCCCCATACCTGGAGCCCTACTTTACTACTATGCCTATACTAAATTCTTGAATTACATGTGTATGACATAAAAAAAATCATTAATATCAATTAAAAGTAAAGGTGCAAGATGAGCGTGAGGGTGGGTTATACAGCTGATCTTAGTCTACTTCACATGCACACTTCAAAAGCATTGCAGAAAAACTTGTTATGACATCATGCCAGTCCCTCTCCTTCCATTTTTTCTGGGAAGAATGCACCAGCCCTTGGAGGGCTTATTGGACAAAATCCTGTGATGTTATAAACCTTGGAAAAAATTCCTCTTTCTTTCAAACACTTGGATGGACTCTTATACCTGATTGCGCGTATCATAGATTTGGAAGACTTCGGGTGTTTACAAAAATAAGCCTACGGGTACAAGCAAACCATTGGGTGCATGCCGTACCAGAGCTTACCCTAAGCCTGTCTGCATGCTGACTTGATGCATGTTGGCCGACATGTCATCGACTGAGGTACTGAACCTGTCTAGTAAACGACCTATGCCTTTTCCAAGTAACTGTACTAGTGACAGAATTCTGCGAGTTGTCAACTGAATTTTTTCTACTATCAGCGTCTACTATGCATCAATGTAATCTTGCATAACTTGGCAACAGTGAGCCCTACTGAGAAGCACTTCCCTCGAAGTAAATTTAAACATATGAAATCAGTTGTTGCTTTATAAAGGACCCTTGAAAATGTTTTTAAAAGTCACAACATAAAAACATTATGTTGTTACAGAAAATCTCCAAAAAGTTGAGTTATTTACAGTACTATCAACACTTTTCTACAGAAAAAACTGTTGCGAAGCTAGAGTCCATGCACTGAAAATTGCAATGTAGTGTATATGCCTGTTCAGAATAAAAATTAGCCCACGTTTAAAAAGAAAAAGAATGCAGTAAACAAGTCCCGCTTTTTCCAATTAATGACAAAAACGTCATTCTGGCACGATTTAGAAAGAATCCAGAAACAATGAGCTATGACAGAAATTTCTAATTTTTAGCGATTACATACATGCAGACAATTTACACAACTCATCCGTGTCTGCTGTTTACTGCCTTTTGTTTCAGTTTCATGCATTCTTATTTATCCTGGGAACAGTTTTAGATACAAGTGTGGGGTTTTTTTTTTTCCTGTTGCCATCACAAATAAAAATGGGATACATACGCTATAATTAAGAATACACTCAGAATTCTAAAACACACTATTGCATCTTTTATGTCTCTTTATCCTGAGCTCCCCAAAATTCTGCAAAATCTATATACAGCAACATTTTGGCATCATTTGTGTACATGTACATTGTATACAGGGCCTTGAATATGACACGTCAGTTTGATTTTCAGGGACTTGAGTAGGCCTAAGGCCTGACTGAGCTGGTTTGCCAATAAACTATCAGGAACATTACTGCAATGAAAGAGCAGGACTCACCTTTTTGCACATTCTTCATGCAAACTTCAGTGTCATGTTCTACTTGAAGCCTGGTAAGCAGGGGCCAATCTGATGAGGGAAAGAAATTGTTCAGTTTCAATAGACCACTTGTCAACGTCAACCAGTGAAACACGGCATTATCAAAACACGGTAGAGCATAGTTATCGCCAGCACCCTGGCAAGACGCAGACACCATCCACACCTCTAAACCAGGCTCTAAATTAACACAAGTGGTATTTGACAGTGAAGCATTTGCCAAAACAACACTCTGGCTGAAGAACACAAGGTTAAAAATTGAAAAATTGCCAGCTTCACTTCATGAAAATTGCCTCTCCACACAGCTCTGGAACAAGCAGCCATGCTGTCTCGGGGGTTTAGCGTGGACCATAGAATTACGCACAAGGGGTCGTAGCATTATACAATAAACCAACAGAGGGCGGTCATAAAGTGTGAATCCTGCAGGATCGCAACTTCGTAACTACAAGCATCACCATGCTATTTAATTGGGACCAGATAAGGAATTCTCCTGTACTTTTTCCTCCAATGATTTTTGTGGGGTTTTCTCCTATTCCCATGGCAAGGTGCCCTCCTTGGTTACTTTGTCTATGCCATGATAATTGCATTTACTTGCACGCCCATTCCTGAATGGGGCAGTAAGAAGGCAAAATGGTGGCCTACAGTTACGCAGCTCAGAGATTTGTTTGTGTGTGTGAAAAAAACTCCACTTTCAAAAATGAAATGTACCCTCAAATTAATGGACATTTCCCTTTAACCAAAACATTAACAGTTTTTGTGCCTCTTTTGTGGATTTAGAATTTGTTGGAGGCGTTTACAGTGCGTACCCCAGAACTGTGGTGTCTGTTGTCTGCCAAGCACACAACCCACAGTTCTGGGGGGTAAACAGTGTGTTAAATGCACTTTTTGCGCTAACCTTACATACACGTACAGGTGTACCTAGTGTGGACTTGTGAACAAAGGATGTCCACACGATGCAGGAATGGAAGATGTTCTGTGGACGTAGGGACGGTGACCATTCAGATCCGGAATGGAAAGGGCCCAACCCTACCCAATCTGGTATTAAGCCAGTCCAGTATTCAGCCTGCCCGTCTGGTACACAGGCTTGTCTGATCTGTGCCCTTTGAAATCAGTGAGGTGCATCAGTTTATGGCCCCTTAGAGAACAGACAGAGCTGAACAGAAAAAGACTTACTGGATTATAGCCTACTAGCAAGAGTTGGCCGAAAAGTTAATTCCTGCTGCTGGCTTGAGGTGGATTGTATTGTTTCGACCATTAATTAACTGATGGGCAGATTGAAACTTTATAATATTCCATATCGCGATTCTTCTGAAGCAGCGGGTGTTAAGAAAACACGAAAACAAAGAACATTTAATGCAGTGCCAGCTTTTGCATGGAGGTGTGATATTTTTCAAGTGTAATGCTGCATGCAATAAGGGCACTCCACGAATGGACCGGGCTTGTTCCAGATGTTTTTTAGCTGCTTATTATTTTTGGATGAGTACATTTATGTTCTGGCTGCTGGATGGACCATCGTACGTAAGCGTGGAAGATCGCCAGCTTTCGGACATGCCTTCGCTTGAAGGAATTTTAAAGAAAATAAGCCTTAACTTTCAAACTTCCATTAAACCAGCACGGACAGAATGACTCATATATATGTGTTCTCAATGGTAGGAAAACTTTTATACATTCTACACGTTTGATAACTCAAACCTCAGTGGATAAAAATGTGACTTATCTGGATATCGAGCCAATCAATGAGTTCCCGAGTCTTGCTCACATGTACATGCACATGAACAGGATCGAAGCACTACTAGCCCCCAGAGTGGCTACTGGAGACGTTATAAGTGGTTGTTTCCTTATATCTAACAACAAATTCTTCTAAAAATCATCAGTTTGCCGAGATTTCATGTTTTTATTATGTATGTAAAATTTCTATTCTACGGATAAGTATAGCAGATCCTTCTAAAAATCATCAGTTTGCCGAGATTTCATGTTTTTATTATGTATGTAAAATTTCTATTCTACGGATAAGTATAGCAGAAACCACCAAAACTGTGCACATTTTGTGACATTTATCTTGCACACAGCGAGGGCACAGGGTTTTTCTGTTTGATCACATGATCATTTCTTTTCGATCGCTTGAGGGCTGACAATTTTGGTTTTTCAAAACGTTTAAGTATTAAAAGAGAGTAAAGAAATATTTGTGTGGTTTTCTTTGTCTTTTTATTCCTTCATCTGTCCTTTGAAAAAAAAAATTCGAGTGAGATTTGGCAACGCAAAACAATGCATTCCCAGCACCACGCCAGAAATGTGCGTCCATTGTGTATACACGTGGGCTATGGCTAGCACAACTCGAGTGCTTCAGCTGCAATTGGGCAGGCGGCAGAAACCAGGTTTTAGTCATGCCATGCGCAAAGCTTCCTTCAGATTGGTCACATGGCCACCACAAAGAATCCACGATTGGATTAAGTTACCTCGGGGTCTCAAAGGTTTTTGAGAGCATTTTTTTCAGTGACCTCAGACATCATTTTTCATTCAGAGGTTGTTAAGCCAAAAGACTATAGTTCCCCAATAAATATATCAAACAAGGTGTACATGCATAAGACTAGTCAGGGGGCTAGCATTGGCAAATGTGGTGGTTTAAGGGTGCATTGTTTGCAAAACCCCATGGCAGGGGCTTTGATGTGCAGGGAGGCTCCATTGTTAGGCTTGAGATAAAACTCTGGTCGATTTTTTGGAATGCTTGGGAAGGGTTTCTATTGTGTAGTGTTGAGTGCGAAGAACATGACAGGGGTTTCTTCTGGGTTAGATTGTACCAGTCAAACTATAACCAATAGACTCCAGGGTGGATGAGTGTTTGTTAACCTCCATCCCGTGATGTCACCGTATTGTTTTGCCGCTACATTATTTTGTATGAATGGAGCGTGGAGACTTCCCCTCTCCCTTATTTGGAAGGGCAACGTCTCCACCACTCCATTCCTACAAAATAATGGAGTTTTGGAATGGAATTCATTCTGAAAACATTACAAAATTAGTTTTTGTACCAACAATAATAGAATTCGTTAAGATTTTTATTTTATGTAGACTTACCATTTGATCCAAGGTGCATTGTACCAAACAACAAGCAAGTCTCATTTTTTTGCTTTCAAAGCTTCAGCTGATTTGTAAACAGTATTTTTGATTATGCGAGGCAGATTTAGTAAAATCCTATTTTTCTTAAACTCATAAATTTTATGCTGTGCAGTTTACGCATTTTGTACAAAAATACATGACATAAACAGCAGATCTTAAATGTTTAAATTCAGGGTCAGAGTAATATTCCTTGGTCGGGTTATCGCTTCTGAGAACGCCAGCTGACCTTAGTTCCTCCTCTTCCTGTAAGGTTATAACCTCAGCTTGCTTACGTCGATTCCCCAAACTCTCCTTGGCACGATCCTTCATAAAGTCCATCCAGTGTATTCTTGATCTGTAAGAAGTCAGGATCTTGCAGGAATTTGTAGGCCTTATTCATGGTGTCAAAATAAAGCTGAAGACAAATCATGAGTTCGTGAAGTGTTGCTCCTGGAAATTTCTCTCCGTTTTGTTTGTTCATCTCGCACAGAAATCTTGCGATAGAATAATTAAGCTCATCCTTGGTCATATCCTCAAGACGAACATTGAAAGGATTTGTGCTCAGTGTCGGGCAGTTGATGGCTCAATGGTTGCACTGACCTTGCCATTGACGATAAGGTTCTAACGCCCACTTAAGTCTGAAAAAAAAAATTAGAAAGTAACTTTTTGGTCCAAATATTAGATATGTTCAGCACAATCGTGACCTTTGCGCAAACTCTGTGCTCTTGAGTTGTTTGCCAAATGGGACAGATGAAACTAGAAATCGTACAGAAGAAACCTTTATATGCAAAACACAAATTAATGAACGTATCTGGCGAAAGAAAAATAAGCAGTCTAGGAAAGATTTTACTATTGTACCCAACCAAAAATGGTCACAAACCGAATAATCTTAGAAAAGAGCGAACTTCCCTCAATAAAGTGTCAAAACACATGGCACAACCTGTTAGTCCAAGGTTTTAGTAAAGTCTTAGAAAAACGACTTGAAAGTAACATGCATTTTGCACACCGAGTGACTCTGCATGCACTGTGCAAAATTTCACCAAAACAATCAGTTATACACAATCTACTCTACATAGAACCACACGTCTTGACAAAATTGTTAATCTGACAGGTTTTCAATGTGTTTTTACAATTCTGAACTAGAATAGGCCTAGGTGGTTATTTCTTAAATTATTCGGTTTGTAACCATTTTGGCGGGGTACAATTTTAAAATCTGTCCGCGACTTAATTTACAGGTGTTTTCCATTATAAAAACTGAAGGTTAAGATTCAGTTGGAAATATGATATTAAAGAAATGGTCCACTTTGATTTTTTTCTCACTCATAACACTTTGTTCCAAAGCTGACTTAACCTCTTTTGTGCAGGAGTTTAATAAACAAGAAACAGATCACATAAAACAAAGTTAAAGAAAGAAACATCTTCATTTTTATTTTTCTGGGGAATGCTTACCTTCTCATTCTTACTCATTCGTGCTATCTCTTCGTCTCCTTTCGGCGTCTCAAAACGGTTAGTTTGGATGTTTTTTCCTCTCATGCGAAGGACACTGCAAGGAGCTCATCGTCAGATATATCAGAAACTATCAGCTGGTAGACACAGTTTTCTAATTCTACTGTGGTGTGATTTTGTAAGTCTAATGCATCAGCTACTGCATCATCAGTGTGATACTCGTCACTGTCTTGTGACTGAAATACACTCTATGTTAGGAATAGACCGCCATCACTGTCACTTTCACTCCACGCCATGTTGATACAGAATGAACCCAGCTTAATTGTACAATTGCTTAAATATTGGGATGCCTGCATTTGAAAGTTACATAACGACAAATCCTTCAGGATTATTTTCTTGCAGACAAAGTCGCTCCATTCGTACAAAATAATGGAGAGGCGAAATAGGGGGACGTCATGGATGGAGGTTAAGTCGCACAATACCCTTGGTAACGCGACATTCATGGGTAAGACTGGCCCTCGGGCCCATTCTCACCCACAAATGTCGCGTACCTCCGGCATTATCCTTTACATCAACTGCCAGACCAGTCTCCAAGTCCCTGTAGCTGGTCCGATATAAAAGGGGACTTTGCTACCGGAAAAGCTTACTGGAGGGCACCTCCCTTATCGGATCTTAAATGGTAACCATGCCTTACACATGTCCACAGGATGTTTCCCTTTCTCTGAAAAAGAGGTTTAAAGGCATTTTGGGGTGGGGGTCATCTGTCGTAAAAGGAAAAGGAATAGTCAAGAAGACCTTGTACAAAAAGCCAGCTAAAAATCATGTTCCCAGTTCAAGAAAAATAAGTATTTTCACTGAGTTTTCTTCACTGCACGAAAAGAAAGGAATGTCCACACTAGGTATGTAAGGTAAGTGTGGGTGCGTTCACTGTGTGATTTGAAATGTGGTGCCTTGTGGAGACTAGCAACTGATCATCAGTGTGGCCGAGGTGCCCATGCACCCCAGACCATGCACTGTGACACCAAACAAGCCCCACAGCATCACCGTCATGGCCAGGTATTGTGTTGGTTGGGGTGGCCAATACGCTGTCCACCAGTCACAATGTAACATGGCACACGCAAATTTGCCCAAACACATGATCAGCAATCTGTGTTAAAGTTCCCAAACTCTGTCATGTTCGCACCTTAAATGATAGAGTTGTTTTCACAGATGACTTGGTAAACAGTCGCATTGTCCTACCTGTTGAGTTGTCTCAGTAGTCAAGTTGTCTCATGTCGAGTTGGTTAATGGTCGAGTTGTCCAACATCCCAAATTTTGGTGGGTGTTTTGATGGTGGTTTACAGTGATAAGTAGGGGGCCCGGACAAGTCGACCGTTGAGCCAACTCGACTGGTGGGACAATTCGACTGTCTGTGCCTCAAATGGACAGACAACTCGACTGTTGAGACACATCATTGATTGAGACAAGTTGACTCGTAATGAGTGCACTTTACCAAAAAGAGACTGGGGATAGATTTCTCATCTCCCAAAGCAGTAGTCTAGCAAATAATCATCAGTACGGCCAAAGTGCTTGTGCATCGTGGAATGGACTGTGCACTGTGACATCGCCACCGTGCATGCCACATCGCTGCTGGTAAGGGCAGCTGATGCATCGTCCACTGGTCCTGTGCATGCTCAGATGCTGTTTCACTGGGTCTCTATGCATGCAATGCTCGGTAAGTCGAGTCCCAACGTAACACGGCACGTGCAAAATTGCTCAAAGTTTGGCCACATACATGATCTGCAATCTCTGTGTTGAATGCCCCAAACCGTCATATTTACACCTTCAACAGTCAAACTGTATGACTTGGTACACGGTCCATACATTGGTTTATACAAACCTTAGAGATAGGCATGTACAAACTCCCGTAAACACATTTTGGCAGTTTTTATTGTGCCAACTTACTCTTCCATCACAGTTATTTATGCAACCAAATTTCATACATGCCTTCTTGTTAGATGTCAGATGGGGAGATTTATTCACCTTATATCCTCATTAACATAAGCCTTATCGCAAATACCGCATGGGTGATTTTACACAATGATAGAAAAGGCATTGTGGGGAGGAAAAAGGAGCAAACCTTCCCACAATGCCTTTCTACCATTGTGCAAAATCACCCATGCAGTATTTGTGATAAGGCTTATGGTGAAATTCTTGAGCATTTTGCCCATCCTCACAACAGAAAATCAGCAGCACGTACTCTCAATAACTGTCAGCTTTGCCATAGCTTGTAAGCAAGAAAGTTACAACCGAATTGATAACATGAAGGTACGACTGTGGTTTTAACTCCAGGTAGGTGTTGCCTCAGGTATGAGTCACCTAAGGTACGAGTTGACTCAAAAGCAATGGGCAAAATGCTGAAGATTTTCACCATTTTAATTAGGCCTATATGTGTTAATGAGGATAGGTCTAAGGTGAATAAACCTAACCATCTGACATCTATCTTCACCAAGAAGGCATGTATGAAATTTGGCCGCACAAATGGCTGTGATAAAAGAGTAAGTTGGCACAATCAAAACAGCCAAATGAGTTTAGGCCTAGGACTCGGAACTCTGGGAGTTAGTGCATGGCTATCTGTGGGTTTGGTATTTTTATAGTTCTGGAACCGGGAGTAGGCATAGGCCAGGTCCAAATATGAAAATATCTGCGCGGAATACCTACACTAACACTTCTCTAACAAACATTTACCTGGCTCGTCCTGCTGGTTCCCCTCCAGAGCAGTAGGGGAATGAAAGAGTGCTTTCCTTAGGCTGTCAAATTCTGTTTTTCTCGAGGTGTTGCTCGCCATTTTGTCACTGTTGTCCGCAAAATTTACGTCGAATCTCAGCGTTGCATGAGATTTCGTACAATGCGTCAAGTCGCCAGACCGGAAACATTCACCACAAGAGGGCGGGCTGCAACATCACCGTTGATGATGGGTTTTCTTAGATGTTGAGCAGTGGGTCTTCCACGTTTCGCAAAGAAAACACAGGGCCAGCAACCTTTGGCCTAGGCCTACTGCACTGTACAATGTACATTTGACAAAGCGTCCCGATCTCATTATAAAATGAAAATTTTTTCCCATGGATCGGTAGAGACGACGGTGCTTTCAACATTTCCACCAACTGACCAGGTTTTTGCATCTCGTGACAAATCATGTTGACACAAGGAGTAAGCTAAAAAGCCTAATCGTTTTTACATCCTTCCTGAGATATCTCGTATCTTATGTCACGTAGGCCTACAAACATGTATCCCTGGCTTGATAACCAGGTTTGACTTTCACGTATATCATGCAGGGCCAAGATTGATTGATTGTTTTGCCTTGATAATTTTGCCAATTAATCAGTACTGGCTTATCAAAATCCAAACAATGATTCTACCTTAACAGACGGGTTTGGCGATGTTTCTGAAAAAAAATTACAATCAGATTTTTTAAAATTTAATTCTTTTTTAAAATAAAATTTGGAGACAAGTTCCATTCCATGTGATAGCTGCATACGTTTTAATTGTCTTCGAGTCATTTCTTTTGTTACAGAATTAAACAAATTTAAATCAAGAAATGTAAATCAAGGGCATGTGCCACGTACAGCATGTACCCAAGTCATTTTGTTTACATCAACAGCTTGTGCTCGCAAAAACGAGTTTTTATTATGTGATCAATGAAGTGCCATAGTTTAGACGAATTATGTGAGGCATGAACTCCATAAACTTGTCAAAGGTAGGGAAATTTTCTTCAGCGATTGGCCAATGATATTTGGCCTTTGGTGTCTTGGTATACAGGACACTTTATTTTTTGTGTTCCATTTGCACTCGTGTGATAACGAATATTGTTCTTACATATGCAAAGAGCAGTCTCATTTTGTTTATGGTTCAACTCCTTTATATTAACCCTAACAGTCCTCAATCCTTCACCTGTTGGAGGACTGAGGACTGTTAGGGTTAATAGAGTAGTGACTCCGGCTTGATGAAAGCTCACATTATTAAGAATATTTTGGTAATGGTTTTGGTTTCATTGCATAGTGCCAACGCAGTCTCAAACTACAGTGTACATGTATATCATGCATAAACAGTGTACATACATGTACATATTAAACTCAGAAGTGGACCCTTTAAATGAAATGAATGAAATCGGGATTATGAATCCTTTACTTGTTGCAGTATTTTTACCTGAATATCTCCATGAGCAAAAAAAAAAAACTACAGTGAATCCTGTCTCGCCCCTGTATACGACTGTGCGTACCATTCGCCCAACTGGAGTTCATTGAACTCAACTGTTACAGTCAGGCCAGCCATGTATTACTGTGGTTTGGATGACTAGTTTGGGGCATGAAAAGCCCAATCAAGATTGTAAAAGTTACTCTATATTACAACTTGAAATTCTCATCTTGAAAGGGTTCCCACAGTCATGGAAAATTGTGAAACCTTCTGGAAAATTTTCCTGGAAAGTCATGGAAACTTAGGAAAAATAGGGTGTCCCGGAAGGGTTAGTCTTGATGGGGTGCTTCTGATTTGCAAACAGAATCATGATAAATGTACAGTCTAGAGTAGTGGCTGTGACAGTCTTCCAGTTAATAATTACCAAATTTTAAACAACTTCCTTCAGCAAAATGGTATTGAATGTCTTGGAAATTGTTATATTTTAGTCCTGGAAAGTTCTGGGAAAAGTTATGGAATTTGGTTTTCAGATTTCTGCGGGTACCCTGACTTTGCTCTCTGTCAATTTTCCTGTTATTTTTAAGAAAGAGAAGCAGAGAAAAGTACATGTATCCACCCCGAGTTGAAGTGCTCCCCCAAGTGGCAAAAGAAAGACAGATGGTAGTAAGTTTTCCAAGCAGATTCTTGCGCGCATTCTGCGTGTACACAAAGACCATACATTAAAGAATAAATTTGTTACACACTATTGATCTCCATTATAAACGCGCGCCTATGCAGTGAGTACCAAAAAAACACGCCCTCTTTTGTTCCGCTTGGAGCGGATAGCCTTCATTGAAGCTAATGTGAGGACTTGGAATACATGGACATGTACACTGGTCTGTGCTTTTGGTATGCCATAAATGTCATTTTGCACCACACACGTTCATGTTCTTACTGCTGAATAGACTGAAACACACAAAATTAAATTACATGTACATCTAGGTGCTCCATAGTCACTTTCTGCCTCATAAACTCTCTAACATTTCCATAAGGCAGAGACAAGATCATCATGACTGTATTTCATCAGTCGAGTTTCAGGTTTCAATTGGAAATATGAGGAGACTTGGGGACATGTATTACATGTATTTCCATTACCAGAGAGTGAAGCTAAGTGATTTCAATTCAAAGATTGAGTTCAGTTATTCTGCGAAATATCAGAAAGTATCAGCAAATGTATAGAAATAGAGATTCCCTTTGCTCATGCAGAACTAAAGTTTTGAATTTTCGTCTTACTTTTTTAATTCACCAGTCTACTTTTTTGTGTGGCATGTTTTTACTGTAATAAATTATGAGTTCTGATTTACATCGTGAGCATTAACATCATTAAGAATCTTCAATTTTCAGACTGATGTGATATGTATGGGTAATGCCAGAAATTAGGGGTCCATTTTTTTGTGTCCCTGTCACATCTGACATATGATTTTGTAAGTTCAGAACACATTTTCTAATTTCCAAGAGTGATGAATTCATGCAAATTACCTGCCAGACAAAGAATAATAGCTTGAAATCAATTCCGGTGATATTTCCTTGTCAAACAAAAAAGGTCAGATGTAACTGGAACCACAAAAATGTCACAAATTTGGACCCATAATTTCTGGAATTACCCACATTCGGTGCATTTTTTTTTACATTGTAGAAAAAAGTTAAAATGTAATTATTCATGGTGTAATGTGAACGAATGAATGTAAATTTTTTGTCTGTATTTAATTCTAGATTGTTTCTAGAAACCAAGGAAAGCGTTATGATATTTTAACCAATTTGTTTGGGTTTGCTTAGAATGTTTGTGTTGAAGCAAATTAAACCTAAAATGACTATATAAGTACGTAGGTAAATAACAATGTTAATTAGACTAGCAATTTCTGCCACAGATCTATTTTTTTAGTTTGCACTTAGCACCGTTTCACTGTGGCAAAGCTACTGGTAAGCTTGTGAAAAAGAATGTAGCAATTGGTAATTAAAAAAAAAAATTAGTCACTGAATTTTGCTGGTAGGTACTCGCTCTATAATACTATTTCCAGTTATTTGTAATGCGTGGAGCTTATACGTACTTGAATATTGTATGTACACGTACGCCATGAACATATGGAATTCACTGGCCAAACATTTCTGGTGCTGAGTAGTGTGGCTGCTACCTATTGAGATGTATATCCTATAGTAACATCACAGATTACTGGTCTAAATTGGAGAAATCCTGGTAAGGTCAGCTGTGTTTTATAAAGTAACCCCCCCCCAAAGTATGTTCCCAGTTTTTGTTTCAAAAAGTTTAAAAATAAACGCCCTCTGTTCCCATTCTGAGCCTTATTTACGCCCCCTGTTCCCATTTTGAGCCTTATTTACGCCCTCTGTTCACATTCTGAGCCTTATTTACGCCCCCTGTTCCCATTTTGAGCCTTATTTACGCCCTCTGTTCCCATTCTGAGCCTTATTTACGCCCTCTGTTCCCATTCTTAGCCTTATTTTTTATAAACATCATCCTGTGTTTTATTTTTAGCAGGCCCCTTTTTCTCATGTTCTCGTATCCTCAACCATCTGCTTTCTAAACTTTCACTTGTTACCAAAAAAAAAGTGACCTTCAGCTCATGCAATATTTTTGGTAGAAAAACTTAAAGCAAGCTATTTTACCCACGTACCTCCGTGATCTTTTTTCCTGCTTTTGATAGGAAACAATTTTTCGGTTCTGTTTACTCTTTAACTTTACTCACTCAAGGAGCGAGTTAGGCAGCACAAAGAAGGAAGAGAAATCATTGAATCATGGAGTGCATGAAGTATAACTCCACTCTACTTTTTGCACTGAGATTTTCCAAAAGAAATAGTTGCAAATCAAATGCAATTCGAGAAACAAAAAGTAAAGTGTAAATTGAGCTGAACTATGGAATAGCTTACCGATTTCTCTCAGAGAGTTTCAAGCAGAAACTTAAATTCTAAGTTTCAAGCAGAAACTTAGATTTTTATCTTATGCAATAGATTTCCTGCATCCTAGTCTCCAGGGTCTTAGCTTGATGTGTGATCAAGTGTATATGTACCCCCCTCCTGTAGCCCTCTTATTCATCATTATGTTTATTTGTTGATCATTTTGTTTTCCCTGTTTGTAGTTTGTTGTTTCTTTTGTATTGTCTTGTTTGTTTTTCGTAATGGCAGTGACGCAAGCTTTGTTTTTAAGGTAATTGCCACCTTAGTGGCCTCGTTATCTCACACATTGTTAGTGCCTGCATTTTGCCACGAGGAAGAAATATGTAATGCAAAAAAAAATGAGCTGCACTTTCTCACGCTTATCAACTGTTGTAGTATTGAACGCTGCTCACCAGGGCTTTATCTTATTTTGTGAAAAAAGAAATTGATTTTTTGTCTCGGTGATTAATTCATAGCGTCATAGAACCACGATCGACACGTCAGTCTAGTTTAAGTCAACAAATGGAGTCAATGTGGACGGTGTCAAAATGCCAAAGAATAAAGATTGTGGTTATTGGGGTCCAGTTCAGAAGTGGTTGTTGCTAACAGCGCTCTGAAAATAACAGTGTGCATTATGTGTTATCTGCGCCATACAAAATGAGTCTGATGTTGCAAATTTTGACGTGCATTGGATCAAATTTTTAACTGCTGTTGGATTTGTTTTATTTTGGTCCTTTTTAAAAAGGCTGAAAAATTCAATTTTTTGGTTGGCCTTAGTTTGTTGGAATGGAACGTTATAACGTTTTGGTGTCATGGAACACTTTTATCAGTAAGTGCATCATGTACCGGGCCAAGACCCGTACACAAGAGTGTACTCATGGGGGAAATATTTGAAAATGCATATTAGTTAAGAATTATTTTGTCTTTTCCAAAACATTTGTCTTCAGTAAGAAAACTTGGGTGTTGGATTTCAATTTAATACGAGTACATGTACCTTGTCACATAGTCCAGTCCACAGTGGGAGACGGATTCATTAGTACAAACTGGATAGTTTAGGAATCACCTGTTGGCTTTTGTGGATTAGGAGAAAAATTACTGTGTACCATATATTACTGGTGGGATCAGTTTTGTTTTCTTGGAAAGCTGAGATTTCATTCTTGAGTCTTACAATTTAGGTTTCAGTCTGAATATACCTGTATGCATGATTAATCATTTTTGTAAAACCCTGTCTATACGTGGTCTTCCAAGCTGATTTTAATGCACACGTGTGCAATTGTTACTCAAGGTTTTTAATCATCTTTTCCAGTTTGTGAATAGCAAATGCTCATTTCCTTATTCAAATGATCATTTTTATTGTCATAAGAAAGAATTACTACCTGCATAAAATAGGATGCAATCATCAGAACACAATTTTGTACCTGCAAATTCTCCTGCTAATTAGAAAGAATAGACAGTAAGTCATAGTGAACGGCAAATATGAATGAAGATGTTAGCAGTTATCAATTATCAATATTGGATCAGTATAGAAATTTGACAAGAAATAGGGGAGTCCGCAATACACAGGTATCTCAATTTTTGAGAGAAGTAGCATTTTACAGATGTTGCCCAAATTCAGGAAGTGTGTTTTGCATGTGCATTGGTTGACTAAAGGTTAG